ATATGTGTATCCAATTCAGTGCGTGTGAAAAATCGTTTATTGCATTTCGTACAGGGAAAAGGTTTGCTTGTGGAATGCCGTTTTTCATGACTGCGCAAAATGTGCATTTGTGCAAATGCATAGCCACATATCCTGCACTTAAATTTTCTATCTTCTCCTTCAGGAAACGTACGATATTTAATAGCAACTGGTCGATACTTGGAGCTTATGGGATCCTTACCAGGATTTTTCATAGGGTGTGTCTAACAAGGAATATATATATATATATATATATGTACATAAATATGTAACAATTTTAATAAGAAATTAAAAAGCGTCTTACATTTCCCTTTGTCTGACTAGTACCGTTTTTGTTGTTTATTTTAGATGGACACAGAGTTATTTCTGTGGACACATAGCTACCATCTAACTTCTCTTTGTCTTCGGGCAGGCTAACTTCAGCAGAATGTTTACTCTCGTTTATGTCATTTGTTTTCAGGGCCTCATTACATCCCGTCAACATGCCAATAAACTTCATATCATATTCACCTGTATCCAACGTGTTTAGGATATTTTCGTCATCATATTCCGTCGATTCATCTACATTTCCATTAAATTTATCAACATCATCGAAATGTTGATTGAAGATATGGTTCAAGAACTTGTCATAAGCGGTGAATTGCTCACAACAAAACTTGCACTCCACCATCATGAGGTAGTTATTCGTTATAAAAACTTCCCCACAATGCTGTCTTTGCTGTATCGCTGCCGCCATACTTATTGTGTCCTTAACCGAATTTTTATTACAAGACAAACCAAAATACAAATGCGTAGGTATGGCAGCGATTAATCATTTGATTAAATTAATCGATTATTTTTGTGTAATTTACGATTTAATTGTATCGTAGTTTTGTTTGTTGTTTTCGATGCATCGAAGCAAAACATCGATATTTTGGGTTCATCGATGTTTTTCCGACATCACTATTTACGCCAAGAAATGTCAAGTTTTTTATGAGGCGCTGGGTGTTTAGTTTTATCTTGTTTTAAAAGTCGAGTTTAAGACACAATAAGTATGGCTGCAGCAACACAGCAAAGACAGCATTGTGGAGAAGTTTTTATAACGAATAACTACCTCATGATGGTGGAGTGCAAGTTTTGTTGTCAGCAATACACCGCTTATGACAAGTTCCTGAACCATATCTTCGATCAACATTTCGACGAAGTTGATAAATTTAATGAAACCCAAGATGAATTGACGGAATATGACGACGAAAATATACTAAACTCATTGGATACAGGTGAAGATGACATACAACAGAAATGTATTAACTTGTTGGCAGAATCTAAAGAGGCCCTTACAACAAATGAGGTAAGCGAAAGAGGACATTCTTCTGAAGTTAACCAGTTCGGAGATACTGACGAATTCGAAGGTGCCTATGTGTCAACAGAAATAACTTTGTGCCCATCTAAAATAAAAAGCCGAAAGGAAACTACTCAGACTAAACGAAATGTAAGAAGTTTTATAACTGCTATCTACATCTGTATATGTATATTTATTTCGTTAGACAAAGCCTGTGCAAAACTCTGATGCGGACCCGACTAGCTCCAAATATCGACCAGTTTTTATTAAATCTCGCACGTTTCGGGAGGGAGAAGATAGAAAATTTAAATGCAGGATATGTGGCCACACATTTGCTCAAATTACAATTTTGAGAAAGCATGAAAAAAGACATTCGACAAGCAAACCTTTTCCTTGCACCAAATGCAATAA